CACAACATCTCATAATCAAGGAGACCGCAGTCGTAATGTCAGCCCCGCCCGTTCACCCGTCAAACCCACCGCTGCGACTATCACAACTGCGCCGTCGGAGCCAAAAGTCTCTCCAGCCAAGACGAGGGACGCCGCAGAGAATACCTTGCAGCCTCAATACCCTGATTTAACCCAGAACTTGAACTCGTTCCCCCAGTATAACACTGATTCAGGCTACCATGGCATGCCAGACGATGAAGGGGAGGATCAGGACGATGATGTGGTTCTCACCCAAGTGCAGTCGGAGACGCAGACATCCACACAGCCTCTCGAAGACGAGCCCGTAACCGCCAACGAAAACCAAAGCCAACCGCAGCGACAGTCTGTTGATCGTCGTACAACAGCTGCTTCATTCCATTCAGCTCAGGAAGACGTACGCCAACGCGGAGAGACGGTCGAGCCTATGGAGAAGCCTGTGCAAGCTATCAACAATGAGACAACACCAAGACAGGAAAAGGCGGCTTCTTCCACGCCTCAGCCAGAGGAGAAGCAACCGGAACCATTCGTCGTGGCAGATCCGGCACCAGAGGAGGAACCAAAGGCCGAGTCGGAGTCCGAGTCCAAGCCACGGGCGGAACCACAAACATCGCCAACCAAGTCTTCTCCAATGAAACAGCCAGCAGCTCCGGTGGAAGAAGAGATCCATGAAAAGGACGACACGCCTCTTGACTCCCTGGATGACATCGGCACGCCTTCGGACAACTCCACTCCGGAAAGACCTCCCATCCGCAAGAGCAGTCTGAGCTTTGCGTCGCTCCCTGCACGGGAGCCACTGTTGAAGAAGAGCTTGGGTGGCTCGAGACTCTCTCGCACAAGCCACGTTGATATTGCTAGAGTGAACAATGCTGCAGGTCCTAGTTCATTTGGTCGGCAGACCGGTGGACACAAAAATACCGCTGTGGATGAGGAGCCAGCGCTGGATGACGATATGGACATTGATGAAGGTAGAAGAGGTGCTCAGCTGCAAGATGATATTGAGGCAGAAGCAGACGCCACAGCTAGCAAGGCCCATACCAAGTCTTCCACTCAGAGACTTCACGAAAAGATTAGCATGCTTGGCAAACTTCAACCCTCACGGCCCACGAAGTCCATCCCATCCGTTACAGGCCTATCCTCCGCTCACGTTGCTTATCCCGAGCTCCCAGCAGCCAGTGCAAAGTCAGAGGTACTCCATCAGGAATCTCGCGAGCCGGCTGCACCGGAGCCTATGGCAATCGACGGGGACGACTGGATCAAGCCAATAGAGTCTCCACAGAAAACACATGCTTCCAGAAGCCCGACAACGGAAGTGAAGGTGAAAGAATCCACGAATGAAACGAGTCGCGCATACAGTGAGAAGGTTTCGCTACCACGAGCTCAGAATCGGAGTGACGCGGACGCGGCGAGAGCCAGCAACCGAAACGTCGCAGAACCGATCCGTGAAAAGTCCTCAACACCAGCTTATTCTTCACCCCAACGGCCTTCCCATCAGAAGAGTGCGTCAGTGTCCAATGCGGGCCACCACGCTTCCACAACACCAGTGGGATCTCCCGCCGCCGAGCGTCATGATGGCCCTCTGAGCGCATCCAAGTTGAAACTTCAATCCATCATGAGATCTGCCAAAGGTCTGTTTACGAACACTGGCAGCGTGACAGCTGCAGCAAGATTGGAAGCGTCCTCGCCTGATGAACTAGGGTTGCATTCCCACAATCGTGCAAGTGGCAATGCTGCTCGTGAAACACAAGACCGTCGGCCAGTCCAGATATCTAGTCCTCTCCCTCGACAAGAAGGGCGCAGAACGCGAAGCTCGACGGAGAGGGAAGAAAAACGCAAGCAAAAAGAGCTTGAAGATCGTCGTCGAGAAGAGGAGGAGGCGGAGAAAGCACGGGTAGAGGAACGCCAGAAAGCCCTTCAGTTGAAGATAGCTCAAGAAAGGGCGCGGATGGAAGAAGAAGAACGTAACGCTTTTCCTTCGGCAGCCGCCGCTCCAGCCAGCTCGAAGAAGGCACAGCCACTGCAGAGACATCAATCCAGAGAGCCCGAGCCCAGCCATGAAACTGTTTCTCGAGCACCCAGCCGAATGTCCGTCTCCCAGCAGCAGTCAAAACAGAACGATCGGCGCCCTGTTAAGCCCACTCGCGAAGTTCTCCAGAAACCCAAGCCTCAGCCCGTCTCCATTCGTGTTGGTAGCGCGCTTTCGCGCCAGATCCCACTGGCATCCACTTCTGTGGCGTCTAGCGGTCCGGAACCCAGTGCTTCTGTCGCTGCACCGCTCTCGGCTTCCAAGCCGCCAACTCTCAAGAAGAAGGCCAGCAATTCTTCTTTACATACCGCCTCTTCAAATAGCAGTTTCAAGAGCTCAGTCTCCAGCCAATCGCAGCGCAAGGTTCAGCTCGCGAATGAGAGGAAGAGGGAGCAGGAAGAAAGAGAGGCGCGCCGCAGGGAGGAGCAGAGACGTGAGGTGGAACGCAAGCGAGTTGCTCAGCAGCAAGAAGAAGTGCGGCGTCAGGAAATGCGCAGCCGAGCAGAGGCCGAACGCCGGGAAAGGCTTGCTGCTGAGGACGCGAAGAAGGCCGCCCAGATACAGGCGATCGAGAAGCGGAGACAGGAAAATGCACGGAGATTGGAAAGACAGGGCAGTCAACAACCTACTAGCGAACGGGTAAGTGAGTTCCGTGAGTGGCTTCGAATCCATGCTGATGCTTCATCTACTTTAGGCTTCAATTGTCCAGCCAGAGAGACCTATTTCACAGGCCGCCAGACCCGCGTCACGGCTTGGATCGATTCAACCTTTCAGTCGGACGATCAACCCACCTCAGCCCAATCCGGCCAAACCACCAAAGAGAGGGCTGGACGAGGAAGCCAGCTACCGTCCGGCGGCTATGAAATCCAATACTGTCCAACCTTCCGGGGAATCTAAGCGCAGGAAGACGGAAGACGAACACAACCCTATGTCCGCCATTCGACCCACAATGGCCCCGCCCATCAGACAGTCGGGGATCCGCAAGGTAGCCTTCCGCCATTTTCAAATCACTCTGGTCGTGTATGCTCATCTCGTATTCTAGGAATCCATGAAACCTCCCATGTATGGCCACGGACAAACTTCTACGCATCAACAAGGCTCTTCGATCTTCAAAACCGCCCAGCCCCAAAGACCGGCTCACCCCATGGATATGGCAAAGTACGCAAGCGGCAAAATACCCTTTGCAGAGCCAAGCAATGCCGCGTCTCAGCTGCCTGGGCATAAGACTCCAGGTGCCAGCTCGTCTCAAAGGGCACCGGCGAAACCATCTCCCAACTATCCCAACGGCGAGAGCATTCATCTTCCCGAAATTGCTACCGACAGTGAGGACGAGGACTCTGATGCGGAGATGCTCCCCGTTCCCAAGTGGGCTCAACCTAAAGAGCTCGAGAACATCCTTCGCCAGCAGGAAGGCATGGAGGCGGACTCGATCTTTGGTCCCATCGCTCCGTTCTCACTGGAGGAGACATTCAAGGCGGACAAGAAGATCAAGAAATTCCGTGAGCGTACCAGCAGCGCCAACTGGTCTGGTGCCGATGGACTGACCCAAGAGGAAATCCGGCGTGACCTCGCGGAGCGTCAACGGCTGAGGCTCAACGGCGGCTGGACCTTTAACTCATAATTTGCCTCCAATCTTATTTTGGTCGGGTTTTCTTCAATATTTATGTTAGAGGGTTTGCGTTGGTAGCGACAGCTGAAGTCTGGAAGAAATTGGGTGATTGGCATACCTGGCGGCGTTTGCGGGTCGTTGATATGCTATTAGCTTTGTAGTCGCATTATTGGGAACATAATTCAAGCATTTAGATTTACACGATCATGGATGAGTTTAGATATCTTAGTGTAGTCGGAGGCATTAGTTTGCAGTCCAACACGATAGACTCGTATTGTATGGATGTTCATAATCCGTCCAGTCCATTTGATTGAGAGATATATTGTATCTGCCACACGCAACATCGTTCAAATAACTACTAGAAATGGCAGACGGGTAAACAAGTCAGAGAAATAATAATAAGAAAAGAAGGGGAAAAGATTATGAGGACAAAAAAGGAAGAGACAGAGAGAGGAAGGAAAAGTATCTCAAGGTGGAGATTGTTAGAGGGTGAAAAACAATGCATCATCCGTGAATCGAACACGGGCCTCGTCGATGGCAACGACGAATTCTACCACTAGACCAATGATGCTAGTTGTTGAAATTACTTCTTTACTTTGCTATATAGCTAAATACGCACCATAGTCCCTCCATATTGCAAGAGGGGGAGAGTCCAGCACAGTGAGGGAAAATATCCACGAGATTTGAGAACCAATAGTTATTTAGGTAGCCCAGCGACGCCTACAGATATTCTATATGAGTGTTTAGGGGTTCGGCAGAAATATCGAGTAATATGTAGTTGGTTCCACTGGAGAGTCTGGAAATATATAGATTCTTCGTGAAGCCCTAAAAAGGTTAGAGATTCGATGAATAGCAGATGGTCTCAAACCTCGGATTTCTGTACCGTCAGGCCTCTGATATCAGTAAAAGGCATTCACGATTTCAAGCCGCTACGTTTTACCAACAAAGCACAAATCAAGCGACCTTGCTATGAGATATTCGGATATAATTCTGAGTTGTCATACTCTGGTACATACGGCCACAGGATGTGGAAAACAGGGCTTCCTATATGATACAATGCGTTTATTGCCACTGAAGGGCAGAGGTTGTGCCTGCCAATATCTGTCAATCGATGTCTGGTCCTTAGAAGGATACGGTGAGAGGGTGGTCGTCCGTCTCTTCACAGATATCTGAAGGAAATGGTGATCACGCTTTGAGTAGAAATCCTTCTCAAAGCTGTCCGTATATTCGATGTCAGCGAGAGCCATTGCTCGTTATCGGTATCTTCACTGTCGTCTTCTTGATCAGAGTCATAGACCTATTCGTCTCTCATCATGGCGGCTGATCATCAGTTTAGCATCAGCTTGGTCACTATGGACGCTCATCATCTTTGACTATACAACCACTTTCTTCATCCTGATCTTGGATATCCTCGCATAATACCCTAGATTCGCTGGAGACTGTGCTGAATTGGCTCTCAATCTCGGCGATTGCTTCATTGGCATTGCCGCCGCAGCCTTCAAGAATCACTTTCAAGGCTTCCACTTCATAAGTCGGCAACCGAGCGACGGCATTGACCAGGAACTCGAGCAGGTCAACATCATAATTGCAGGCAGGGAAGTACAGTGCACGATCCCTGTCTCTCCCAGTTTTCGTATGGCCCAAACCTCCAGACCCTTCCAGCTCCGTACGCCAATAAATATGCTGCAGCGTGCTTAAAAAGAAATAGGTATTTGGAGCGCTGGCGTCGGGCTCATGAATCCCTTGCTCACACCAGCGGTGCCTTTCAAGGTTCGGTTGGACATGAACATAGTGAACCCTGGTTGATCAGTGCTCCGGACGACAGACTGACTGGCAGAGACAAGGTCCACTCTTCGCTGTAGGAAGTTGTCTCGCTGATCCATTGCCGGATTCCCCGGCTTGGGAAGTAATCCATGACTTTCTTCCCTGCGTTATACTTTGCTTTCGAGAACCATACGTTTTCGCCTGAACAGGGACTGGGTAGTAATGTGCAGATGTGATCTTTCGTTGCTCTTTGATGTTATAAGAAAGTTCGTGTGGTGGGAACCGCTCGCCATGTTCATTTATAAAGCCCTCTGGATCGTATATCTTCGTCCCCATTTGACGTTATAAGAGAGTTTGCGTGAAATGGATCTTGCCTCCCGTCGGCCTTATTTGTAGCATGCGGTTTTTGCCTATTGCTATGTTAGCAAAGCACACACCCACGAACGGTGCAATCTATACTTCATTTTTCATCTTGGCTGCTTCTCCGACAGGGGAAAGGCATAATCTCTGCTGTGTTGGTACCAGCAGTCTTCATTTGTGAGAATGTTTATAAATAAGCTCCGCGCAAGTTGGTGTAACTTGCTGTGTACCAGGCCGAATGACATCACGGCAAGGTAAGTCGACCATCTGGTGGGAGGTATTCGTATGTTTCGCGAAGGATATCCATGGTGTTGCCATTCTCGTCTAGTGGCAAGTTAAAGAGGACGTAACATACTGGTACTTGAACTCATAAGAACGGAGGAATTCTCATGGACACCGAAAAACCCTGACTTGGACAGCTAGAGCGAACTCTTTTTTTAACCAAGGAAGCACGGATATAGATAACCCAGTTAGCATTGTGACATGGAACTCCTTGCCTACGGAGTTGAAGTTAATATAAACAGACCTCTCTTTGAGGTCACTCTTCACCTTCAAGAAGTACCTTTGAGGAAACTGAGTAGGGTCAGTCGGAGTGCGGCTGTGCCGTGGTCGTGAGTGCGTAGAATCAGTTGACATTGTGTTAGTGTCTGAGGGAAAGTAAATTAAAGCGCCAAAGAGAGAGCAGAGTAAACAATATGGTAGGAGTGATAGGGAATATCAGATGAATAAAGGGAAGGTGGAAGTAGTGAGATTCAGTGTGGCCTGTACATCACCGGCATCTCCACGAGTCGCAGGCCGGTTAGTAGTTGGACGTGCCACGCTCGTTGGCAGATTCGGAGTCCGGGAATCCATCCTGGTTAGGAGGTGTTGTATCAATAAGTTTGATGAGATGTCAGAACAATCATTGCCAATGCCAGCATCCCATGCACGTCGCCATGTTCGAATCGAGACTGACTTCCAAAATAGGAAATGGCTCGACATGTCCAGTTAAGTAACTAGATACCACACGCACTATTAGAATCCATAAGTCCAAATCAACATTAGCAATGATCACGTTACCTTTTTCTTGTCCTACTGATGGTCCAGTATGACAATCTCTGGTACCAACGACCTGATATAGTCCCGATATCGCAGGTCGGGTCGTATCAAGGTCCAATCCCAGCCTTGACACCAATCCACAATATCTGGGACATCGTGTACTACGCCGTAAATCGCAGATCCCAGTCCACGAATTGCGTTGCTCCTAGCCCTTCTTCTCCTTCCCCCCGCCCCCCCCCCCCACAAGGCCATCTGAGGAGCTCCTGGGCCTTGGTGCGCTTGCCCGCAACTTCCGCTTCTTCGGCCGCGGCGGCCTTCCTTCTCCAGCCGATCGACTTCGGCCCGCTAGTATGATAATATCATATATCAGCATCACCCCTGGCTCACTACTATGCGTACGGAGTGGCAATGACAAACTTACCAGCGTTTCGATGGACGGATCCATCTGACAATATGGGCCTTCTTGCAAGGGACTTGTAACTGTAACTCTGGAGCCGGAAGTCAAACAGGTCATTTGAGAAAGTAAAAAGTCGTAGCTGGTATTTCAATGTAATGGCTATTAGTAGTCAACGAGTAGCTGGAGAAGTGATAATGTTTCATAGAAAAGCAAGGGAGGAGGCCAAAGATAGTAGCTTGAGCATGTTGGTAGGAATGGTCGGAATATTCACTGTTCATCCACTGGCTTTAAATTCTGCTAGTGAATTGCCTGCTTTAGATCCATGTTGTGTGAATACCTCTAGGGCTGAATAAGTGGATAATCAAAAGAACACAGCCCAAGGGTTGACCTGAGTATCGAGAATCCCGAATTCCTGATTCATTCACGATATGGTAGACATAATTTCAAGTCACAGGAGACGTCTATATCGAATTTGCGTCCGTTGATGGTATTGTATTTTACCATGATATCTGCAAGGAGTATACAAGGGTCGGGACCCTATCTACATACATACATTGCGTTCAGCAGGACTCAGTCCTACTATGCATTGATAGTTACAAGCCTGTCCAGACCACTTCAATCAACCTCCGGTTCAACGTCGCTGACCTCTTCGTACACCTCGTCCATGGCGTCTGGATTGAGATTGGCTGCGTCGGGGGTGATGCCATCCTTGTGCCTGTCTCTGTCGTGGGATACCGTGCGCCATCCAAGTGGCTGCGACGGGTCTTTGACGTATTCGGACATGGGAAACTGTCCCGGAGTCAGCTAATATCCAAAAGAGGAAAAGAGATAACCTACGTAATGATCGTTCTTCTTCATCGTTACAACCCATGGCACGTTGTCGAAGGTCACAGCACGCAATCGGAAGTATGTATTGTCTGGAATTTTGCTGACTTCCCTGACGAAGCTGTCAAGGTTCGGCGTCGGAACGCCATTCACGGCGGTGATGAAATTTGTCGGTGCGAGGCCATACTGATAAGCTGGCGAACCGCGACTCTGGAGAAAGTTAGTACCACGACTACATTAAACTCTCAAGTACAACGTTGAACATACCCTTGCACTGACATACACCTCGCTGTGCAGCTTGGAAATTTGCTGACGTACGGCGTGGTGTGGCTTCTGCAGCACAGCACCGCAGAATACAACAGCACGGTCGGTCTCCAGGTCCTCGGTAGGTACCGTCGGTAACTTGAGATGCATCTCCTGTCCGTTGCGCACGATAAGAGCGTCAAGGACCTCCTTCTCATACATTTTGTCCAACTCAGAGACGCGAGTGATCAGTTGACCGTCCAAGGTTAAGATGATGTCCCCTTCTTGTAATGAGTCCGCGTTGTCCGTAAACTGCGGCGGAGGACAGTCGACTTTGCGCACCATGAAGAGCTGGTGCCGCGATGGATTCGCCTGTGCTACCTTCTGGATCCACTCTTCCGAGACACCCATGATGCGGGCCTGACTCATTTGAACCACATAGCTCTCCATGTTGAGGATTCGCAGCTTGGGAATGATCCCCTGCTGAATCTTGGATGTAACGGGCAGGAGCGCCGGCGTGGCGAAACCGAGATGGTATTCCACATCCTTGTGAGAGCTCGGGGTGCGCTCTCCGAGATAGTTGAGCCACAGAGCCTGGACGACTCCATCTTCCCCAATCAGCACACCGTTCGTGCACTGCCCACTCAGGCCCGTGTCAACCGTGATGGCATCCAGGTTGATCGCCCGGTAGCGCGGCGCCGAGGCATTCGCGGGAATCGAGACGGTGGTGATGTCGGTGACCGCTGTCTTGGCCACCACGATGCGGAAGTTCTGATTGAAGCCCACGAAGATGGTCTCCTGGCCCTGCTTGATGTACTCGGTGCTCAACTTGGCACTCTGGACAGGAGCCTGCACCAGACTGGGGTCATATTGGATGATGGTATAGTTCTGTAGAGGATGCAAGAAGATAACCTTGGCCGCGACAATGATTGAATCGGCCACAGTGATGTTGATGTCACATAGATTGTAGGGAACAATAGCTCTGGACACCACAACCAGACCTTTTTCGGCATCGATCACCAACCCGAAACCGGTTTTCTTGGCTTGCGGGTACCCATCGAGCTTCAAGGGCATGGTGCAGGAGACACGTACAAAGCTGCGCACGATATCCGCAACCGCAGGCTGACTGACTCCGTCGAGTTGAATGAAATCAGCTTTCCTAGGAACCGGCGTTTCAGCTGGCACGGGGTCAGCGAGATCAGAGAAGTCCCATAGCCCCGTCTCGTCGTTACGAATGGCCATTCGCATCTTGGGATGCCAGTGGCGGTCTATGTACACGATGCTGGTACCACGGGTGTGAAGATCTCGAATATGACGATACGAGATGACCACCCGAGCTCGATCCGGGATCGTCTTCATTACTTCAGTGAACTCGTCTAGATTTCGGGTCGGGCGTTTGTCCACAGCATCAATAATCCACCCGGACAGGGTATTCTCCAACTTGAAAGAGCCTGCTGCTTCGCAAACATACACTCCTCGAGCGGCAATGGCATAAAGCCGGGCCTGCTGATAGGACAAATTGTGGAAAGTGCCACCGGCTACCGTGACAAAACGGTCTGGCGTGATGGCATGCAGATCGCCCACCTCACATTCCACCTCGACATTCTGACCGCCTCTCTGAACCAGCAAACGCACGGTCTTCCCGACGCTTGAATCGAGGATATCGTCCAATCGGATGAACTGCGTTAGAAGCTCCCCGTTAACCTGCAGCAGGACATCTCCTTCTTCGAGCTTTCCATCTGCAGGCCCTTCGGGTAATATGATCTCAGCCACCAACATACTGGTCTCATGCGGCGAGGCTTTGCGCACAGCAGCCTCCCACTCGGGCGTCAATCCCAAGCGACGACACTCGTCGAAAGGTTTGAGGATCCACTGTGTCTGAATCGTACCCCGGGCGACAGGCTCACCGCGTCGGATGCACTCCAACGCTCGGAGGGGGCGGTCTAGGGGAAGGAAATAGTCCGTGGCCGCACCATCCGCGCGACCTCCAGCCTGTAAAGCAATTGCATGACCGTCGATATTAACGACAGGACTGCCGGAACTGCCACCACTGGCGGCTGCCGCGGCCTGGATGTAGTTCGTATTAAAATCACAGTAACCGTCACCATACTCCGGCGCATTTCTGTCGAGCCGACTGATGACACCAGACAGAATGCTCAGCTTCTCCCCAGCATCGTTACCCACGACTCGAATCTCACATCCCACACGGGCCGCCTCCGGTCGAAGCTTGAGCTCAGTCAATTCCATGTATCGAAT